AAAATTCCAAGATCCAACTCTGGATTGGTTTGTGAAAGATAATGGGAAAGACTTGAAAGCTGAAATATGAAAAATGTGGGTTAGATACTTTTGGATACATTTTCTATGAGTAGACTCTGAAATAGATGACTGAATAGAGTTATGTAATTCCTGACGGTATGGGATTGGACTAAAATAAATCAAATGTCCCAGATTTGTCATCCAGTGCTTCCTTTAAGGGGACACATCTGGAGTGAAAATTCTTGTATATACTTATCATATGCGCAGACTCTCCCTAGTCTACCCACTTGTTCCCCATGTGTCTCCTCCTATCTGGTTCTCAAAGCCCTATATACACCACTCTACTTCTGTTATTTCATCCTAGGCTTTCCATTAGTCTTGGACCAGTGCTTCTCAAACTACCTGTTGGGATAAACATTTTATTTTTCAAGCAATTGCAAATCGACACTTGTAAAATATGATCAAAATGAATTACTACAAAGTTAAATTAAAAAGACATAATATACAAGTCTACTACTGCTTAAATGTTGCAGTAATACCATTTTGCTTTAACAGTTTCTAAGAGTTTCATCTCACTATTTACACTCATCTCGTCATGTATCAGTAACAAGTATTTCACTGAACCGGTCCTGGTCCAGGGACCACACTGGGAGTGGCAGTGCTCTGGGAAACTGCTGATTAGATACACAGCAGGATTGTCCAAAGTGCAGGGAGGCCTACTGTCCCTATAGAAGCCAAAATTAGATTAAAAACAAAAGATTGCCAAGCCAACCCACTCTGTAATTTGACACAGTTAAATGCATTCATCTAACTAACTAGCAGGTTACGAAGTTATGCATATGTGTGGGGGAACCTTCATAAAGCTGTTCTGAGCCCATTTGTAACAAACATCATTTACCTACGATGAGAAGACTTATTACCTGTCAACAGGATTTATTACTCAAATTAAATCATGAAGGGCCTCTTTAATTCATTTCCACTAATTCTACCTAACTTTAATTTAGATTCTATTTTTTTTGTAAGTGTATAACTTTCCACTTCTAGGACTGATGGCAGGTGAGCCCCTTTTAAAGGCCACACTACTTTGAAAGAGGGGAAGTAGAAGAAGGAATCCTAGAATTTGAATTTTTTCTTGTTTATGGTGTTATGTAACTAAAGGCTAATTCTATGTTCTACTCCTACAACTCATAACTTTTGAGTCTGGGAAAGGAGCATGTTGGTATAATAATAACAACTTCATGGAGCTCTTATTCATAACAGGTATGGTGAGCTTTCTATGCATTGTATCATTTAACCTTCACCACAACGATTATTATTCTCATCTTAAATACAGATTTAATGTAGGGAGGATAAACAAGTTGCCTGAGGTAGTATCCAGCTAGTAAGAAGCTGAAGCAAAACAGAAAGCTGAGTTTGACTCCATGACCCACAGTCTTCTCTGTCTACCAGACAGGTGGTCCCTTATTTTTTTATTTATTTTATTTTTTTGCTCATGTTAAAGAATTAGCTCTGTTAGTTGTTGAAAAATAAGCCCTAACAGCTAGAAGCTGGCCCAGCAACATCACTGAGGCTTTGGTGTTGTAAGAAGGGGGCTGGCACCTAGAACTAGGCTTGGTCTTCTGTTAAACGTCAACTATTTCACAAAACACCAACATCAGACAAGGTCACTCTGTGACAACAGTGAAATGTGATAAAAAACAAGGCTCCTGTGCAAACCACAGAAAGAAAATCTTCTTCCTCTCCTGAAAGTATGAATGAATTATTTTTTTTTACCAATTACAATTTTAGTCTTGTTCATTCCTCTCTCCTTCTAATAAGATTTACGAAGATATCTAATCATAGAATCACCTTCACTTCCTGACGGCATTTAATCTACAACAATTTTTCACTTCCTTGAATCCTCCCTCAAATCAGCTAACAAAATCCAAAATCCCGTAAGTGATCCTAATACCCTTGTATTGAGACAAGTCCCATGGTTCCCAAGGTGTTTGTTCTCCCTGCTGCAATAAGCAATAAACCCAACTTGTTTAACTCCAGGTATGTTCATTGTGGTCTTTGCATGGAAAACATTGACAACTCCAATACAAAATAGAAAATGAAATAATAAATGCAATTATTTGCAACTGAAGGTAGGAGGAGAAAATGAGATTATGTACCAGAACTCACTCTCTCTCTCCTTTCTGGCCCAAACCACATAAACATGCAAAATACAACAGAAGGAAAAAGACTGATATCTGCTCTCCCCATGTATATAATCTTCTGGTTCCAGTCCTGAATTGCTACAGAAACATTATGACAGCTTAGCTGCCATCACCCTCTCATGAGACTATAACAGGCACCGATGGGGTATGATGTATAAAGAAAAAAGTCAGCCTGCCATGTAGGGGTGGTGCTCTGCAACGGCTCAAAAGGCAATTATATGTAGGCTTTTACTCAAGGAGCAACCGAAGGGTTTTGCCTGCTTCCAAATGTATTTCAGTGCTCTGAAAATGCCAGACATTCCTATATCCTCTAACTGTAGTCACTAACCAGAATTAAGGATCCAGATCACTAGATAGCTCTTGTCAAGATGAAAATATGGAGGTCGTTGTTACCCATCACTTTAGTGGAGAGCAGGAGTTTAAGTGGTGACAGGTTTACAGTCTGAAAGGTAGGAATATTTCAGCAGTAAAAGCAAGAAAGAGGGAATTTAAAAAATGGCTTCTCCTGGGTGAAGCAAATCCAGAGGTCTGCTCCATTGCCAGGTGCACAAGAATGGAGAACACCTGGGAAAAGAAAAATGCAGGAACATCGCAAATACTACAAGCCTGTCTCTGCCAGGCCGCGCCCGTGTGGGCAGGCTTGTTTATAGCCTTGATTTTTACCGTTAGGTAAAAGCAGCAACAGAAATGCTAAAATCATAGCAGAAATCTCAAATTTGACAATAAAAATTTGTTTTAAATAAGAAAACACAACCGTATAGTTAGTTCATTGGGTCCTGAATGATTTTTGCTTTGACATCTATGAAGGTGACACGGACTAAAAATATTTTGTATCACGAGGGATTTTATAGTACTGCTAATATGTTTCACGATTTAGGCTAATATAATATCTTTAATATTTCAAAAACCAATTTAAGCTGACATAATATTTTTGAATAATTCCAAATCATGATTTGCAAAACTGTACATCACATTAAAAATTTAGCCTGATAGTTCAAACATTAGCACAATTCAGTTCTTTCTCAATACAATTTAATTTTAATTCCATTGTAGAAGACATAAAATTTTTGAGTTTTTCAAACATATAAGATTTATAATTTATATCTCCAATAGCTAAGAAAAATTAATCCATTCTTATACAATGGAAAGATTTAGTACAATGTGCTAGTAATCCATCAGTAAGTATATGGTTATCTTAAAGAGTCATTCTAATACATTCTGACAACTGGTTTAATTATTGAACATTGTACAAGTGAAAAGTAAGTGGAAAGTCTTCTACAGAAAAACAAACTGATCACCCACCCAATTACTATTTAAGTAGTCTATTTTCAAATGCAAAATGAACTTGTTTCACAGAAACTAGGAAAACATAATATTTTGAAAAAAACTTGAGAAAACAGGATAGAGTTGGTAAGTAAAGGCTGAATTGTGTTATCTGCCACATAACAATTTTGCTATATTGACATTCATTTTTAATCTATCATCCTTATTATTAGCTATGAAAATAATCACATGAAGTCATATGATATCATAATGGATTATATTGTATATGAATTTAAACATTAATTTAGAGATTTTGAAATCACTCGGGGTATTATATACAGACTTATACCTAGTAATTTATCAACTATACATGCCTGTAAAGTGGTTAGAAGTGAGCTAGATTCATGGAGCTCACTATAGTAACATTGCACTTAAGCAACTTCTTTAAGATGTTGAAAATTAGGATATGAATGTAGCCGCTTCAGAAAATATCAAATACATCACAATAAACAACACATTAATGGCAAGCTTACATATTTAGACCCTCATTTTAGGGGCCTATTAATTATTAATATGACACTGATTAATTTATTTCCTTTTGTCTAGCCTGCGATTCTACCACATTTTGAACACTACATAAAAAGCCACAGCATAGTACCTCTCAAAAAATTATAACGAATATTGAATTTTCAATCCCACATTTAAACTAAATTGATGTTGAAAAACAACAAAAAGATATATAAAGAATAGGCATTTTTATTTCCATTTGTATACTTATTTTTCTTATATTTAGTTTCCAACTGATTTTCACTTTTTTCCCCTCTCCAAGTCATATTCTATGAGTTTTGGTTATAGAGGAGTAGTACAATGGCACCTTTAAATTGTTTTGAAAGATCATTTGTTAAATTAATGTAGCAAATTACCCAATGTGACCTTTATTATATTACTTCTAGTTATTAAAACTGTACCATATTGTCTAGAAATGGAGAGAATTTCATTTGGTGCCAAAATGAGGAACTCTGCATACATTTTTGCACTCCCCAAAATGTATTCAGCTCTTTATCTGCTTCAATGCTATTGTATATACATAAAAACGTGATGGAGATCTCTTGTTGAAAATTATATAATTTTAATGAAAAGACAAAAATAACCCTCACTCAAAGCCTTGACCTAAGTTGGACATTCATTTTCCAGATACTCATATAGTCACCTTAATTATATAACCTCTAATCATTAAAACTATACTGCGTTGCCCAGAATTGGAGAGAATTTCATTTGGTATCCAAATGAGGAACTTCGCATAAATCTTTGCATCCCCCAAAAATGTATTTAACTCTTTACAAAGTTAATTTGCCTAAATTTTTCAGTTTATGTTGCACACTATTATAGAGATATAGACATAGATCCCACAAAGACCTCTGCCTGTCTCCCAGAGACTAGATAAGACTAATGGGCAAAGTCTAGTTTTCTACTGAAGGACACACAGATAACTTTTGGTATCTTTCAAAGTCTTGCACATTTTTCCCAAAATGAGGATATCTTGGCTTATCTGGAGCAGGAGAGAGAGTCACAAAAAGAAATTTCTATTCCCCTATAACTATCATGTTGGTTAATAAGAGCTGCTACTGTTGGAACCATATTTAAAAGAAAATTGGAATCAAGTTCCTCTAAGAAAGAGTACTGATAATCTTATTAACTCAAATATTCATTTATTAAACAAATATTAAATTTTTTGGTTATGAGTAAAATTTGTGGAGAAGGGACACAGAGATAATGAAATCTTTCAAATTCATATACTTTGCCTCAGGGAATACATTTATTACCTGCTGTGATGTCACTGGGTAATTTTCCTGGCTGGTAGAGATTCAGCTTAAGTTTTCCATCATTAAGAACGAGGAGGAGACCCCCGGAAACCAGTTGCAGGTCACTGAATAGCAGAAGCCCTGCCTTATTCCAAGTTCGAAATTGAAAAGTGGCAGAAACCTCATCCTCTCCGGAAGAGCCTGGTAGTGCTAAGTAACTCCTGGAGCTCAGAAAAGTCACAGGCATAGATTGTGGTTGTGAACAAGAAAATGACACATTTCCCTGAGAACAAAGTAGAAGAAAAAGCTTTCAGAATGTTATTCACACCACATTAGTAACTAGAATTTGAAATATTTACACAGGCTGTTTATCAATCGCGCATTATCCTCAGTTTAAAACAACAAGAACTTGCTATCAACATGAAATTCCAAATCCTCGCCATATATTGTGAAGGTTCTTCGATCATTTTCTGTGGCCTCCCCATTCCTCGAGTTTAATATGGATTTGAAAAGTCAACAAAATTAACTTTATTTTTAGAAGAGTACACATTGGAAGTAAAACATGTGGCCTTGGTCAAACAAAAACATTTGGCTATAGCATGATTCTGAGAAAACTGAATTAGCTTTTGTTGTACATAAAGATCTTGTTCTAATAAATGAAATAAAAGTTGAAGAGCACACTTTACAAACCCATACACTAACTCATAATGTAAAGAAATTATAAGATGATCAAACCTAGTAAAAATGAAAACATTTTATCAGCGGCAGTTCGGTCTTTTTTTTTTTAACTGATACGTAACAGTTGTATACATTTATGGGGTCCTTGTGATATTTTGGTACATGCATGCAATGTGTAATGACCACATCAGAATAATTGGGATATCCGTCACCTTGAACACTTATCCTTTCTTTGTGTTGGGAACATTCCAAATCTTTTCTTCTAGCTATTTTAAGTGCACTATAAATTCTTGTCAACTATAGATATCCTACTGTACTACCGAACACTAGAACTTATTCCTTCTTTCTAATCGTATTTTTGTACCCATTAACCTACAGTTTGGTCTTATATTTCATTTGGATAGCTGCCTACTACTCTACCAGCAGCAGATCCTCTTGCCAAAGAAGAATGGATGTTCCTTGCATGAGACATTTCTAGAAATATCTACAATATTTTTATTTTCCTTTTAAATCATTTTTTCTTCTATTAAAAAAATTATTTAAAAATCTTGCCGGATATTATGATTATATAAAAATACCACCAATTCACACAGAGAATTAGGGGAAAAAAATACTATGTAAACAATAAATATTTTCATGATGTGCTTTGGGATTTGCTGACATATTAGCTTCAGTTCACATATTCTGAATTTTAAGCAATGAAAGAAATTCATTCAAATCGGTGTATCTGCCTTTTATTGTGAACCTGGTAAAGCTGGAAATCATGTTTCCCAGAATCCCCTTCCTTATCTACTTCTTGGTAAAAGTTAGCCAAAATAGGGAGTTTGGGTGATATTTGACAGTCAGAAGTAAAATGCCAGCAAAACATTCTGTTCCAAAGGTTTTTTTGTGACCATGTACAATGAAGGATGATCACAGAAGCAGTGGTTTGTTCCAGCTTGTCCTTGTTCCCTGCAGTCAGTGCCACCTCTTCTTCCCAACAGTTGGCCCAGCTGACCAACAGCAAGCCCAGGCCCATCCCCAGAGGCGGTGGCTACCCAAAGGCAGCAACTCACTCCCAAAGTTGTCTCAGGAGCTTCCTTCATAAGCTGAAAACGCTCTGCAGTCTACACACACCATTGCTTCAGGCAGAATTAAAGACCTCTCTGAACCTCCAACTTCTGCCTTCACTGTTTAGTTCCTCTGACAATTGTTAAGATCCAAGTCCTAAAATTGATCCCTTGTTCATAATACTCATAGTGGTGCTACCTCCTTGACTGAACCCTGTCCAAGACAGCTATATTTAAATTCTTCCACATTTCCATAGAGTTAGAATATAATGCAGCCCGGCCAACATTGCTATTTGGACAGATTGGCAATGTTGTAACAGCCTATTAGTTTCTTTTATTTGTCATGAATGACCATGGCAAAATACAAGTTTTTCAAATGTCTCCCTAATATCTATGGATGTTATCTGATTCCAGAAACTCTCTATGCTCATCTAGTGAATTTGTCAGTGAATAGCTTATTAGGGAAATTACAGAGCAAAAGAAATTTGACTCCTGGGAGTAATAATAATATCACAACAAAATTAAAATAGCAACCGTGATAAAAAACTGCTTCACTTCATGTAAGAATAAAATAACTATGCCCTGTGAATTATAATTCCTTTAGATAGAATTAATCCTTTACATGCATATTGCCAATCAGAGAAATTTTTTTAAAAAGAGTAATCTCTAAAACATTGTATCAAGTGGGAACCTACACTGGAGCAATTTTATTGTGTGGAAAAGACACAAGTTTTACTCATTCCCTCACTCTTACCATAGCGATGATCTGTGGTTTTTGTTGCTTGGCCAAATCAATGATATCCACTCCATTATAGTAGAGATTTTCTAAACATCCATGAAAATTTTTATGTGGGAATGACACTGATTTTCCAGGTGCTGGAATCCCTCCAAAGCTGATCTTAGAAAGAAAAATGGCATCAATAATATTGTTTAGTGATTTTCTGATAATCTGCTTAAATAATTATGATTAGAAACTATAGCTGTAGTCATCACACACAGATTAATTTTTCATCACCCTACACGTGCAAAAAATTAAAGATACAGACTTTAAAGCAAATTTATATGCATTCAGTTTTCATTTACACTAGGATTTGATTATTTTCTTACAAGTCGCTAATCACATCTGGTTTTGATATTTATTAGTTGATGGAAAAATACACCTTTATATCATGGTAAAACTTGATCTGTTTAATAATATAGCCAGTTATAAGGACATTTTATTTTATGTACATTTCTGGCACACATTGATATTTGTGCATCTGAATCAATTGTTAATGAATTAATCTGTTTGTTGCTACTTTCTCCCCATAAATCTACACTGCTCACAAGCACTGTAGAACACAAAAAAATCATGAGATACATCCTATATTTGCTTGTGGCAATGAGATCTCTTGGCGGAAAAGATTTCCCCATGTGATGTTCTGCGACTATATATTTCGGGTAAATGAGATGATCTCGCTGTGCAATAATAAATTAACATATGATAAGAAAGATGAAGCCTCAAGTACTCTGTGCCCAAACCTGCTACTCTGAGTTAGGCCACCTTGGGAAACGTTTCATCAGTTCTGTGATGTACCATACAAGGTGGGTTCTCTATAGCATATTTTCTTTTGGAAGATTAAACTACATATACCTCATAAAATCTGTATTAATTGAAACATAACCATCACACCTCATAACCAAGGTCCAGGTAATTGAATTCTCCCTGTGCGTGGAAATGACGCCTGTGCTCGTCCACTGTAAAGTTGACTTGTTTGCCCAAACGCTGGATGAGCACAGAATGCCAGTGCTGATCATCTAGCAGGCTGCCCAGGGTGAGATTGATCAGAACAGGAATGGAGGGCAGTTTAGCTTCACCTTAGAAGAAGAAAAAATAACCACAAATAACGGTACCATTATTCCCAGTTAAAAAAAAAAGTTCTTATGTTATGGACCAGGATCTTTCACAATAATTGCAATCTCCTTCCATGCATCCCATTCCAAACACTGGCATAGATTTACTTGAAGTTTGAATATAATAGTCTCTCAACCTTCTTGTAATTTCTTCCACTGTTAATTCCTTTTATTATTATTACCCCATTGCAGGCTCATTTTCTATGTAAACTTTATCTTTGCTACAACCTCATTATTTTTACAGCCTTAACATTTTTCAATGATCCATCCCTTCCTTTATGATGTTAGAAAAATTGGCTACGTAGCTTTATCAGTGCTATGTAAAAAACATCAAGTGAGGGTTTTGTGCAGTTTGCAAAAATGAATGATTTTTTAAGTGAAAGAGCAATATTGGCACAGATACAAGCCCTTGGATCTGAGAATAAGGCTCCTCGATTGTTAAAACATAAGCTATACAAGCATAAGGTTACCTAAGCAATATCTAAATTATCAGATTTTCAAGCACCTCACCAGTTTTACCTGAATTAATAAGTAAAAAGAGTTTTCCTCTTCTTAATTGCAGTGTGATGTGATCTCCATTTGGCCCTTCCCTGTGGAGTAGAATCCCATCACTCTGCATAGTTTTAAATTTCAAAGAAATAATATCTTTTATTGAGCTCAGGGACTTTTGATCAAATCTGTAGAGAAGGGAACTTTTTCCATCAAGATCAACCACTTCTGATCCTAGAGATAAAGATATTAAAAGTCATTCTAAGGATAAATATATTTCCCATTAAAGCATTTTAAATGCATATATATAGAGAGACGGAGGGGCGGGGTGCGCATTATATATACTCCCACACATGCACATGCAGATACTCCCCAACTTACAATGGGGTTACATTCCAATAAACCCATGATAAGTTGAAAATATCTAAGTCAAAAATATGTTTAATATACTTAACCCACCAATCATAGCTTAGCCTAGCCTACCTTAAACGTGCTCAGAACCCTTACATTAGCCTGCAATTGGGCAAAATCATCTAACACAAAACCGATTTTAAAATGAAGTGTTGTATATCTCAGTCAATTTATTGAATGTTATACTGAAAGTGAAAAACAGAATGATTGTATGGGTACTCGAAGTGTGGTTTCAACTGAATGTGTATCTCTTCTGCACCATTGTAAAGTTGAAAAATTGTAAATTGAATCATCATAAGTCAAGGACTTTCTGTATAATTCAGCTCCAGGCCAGTCATAAAAAGGGAAAATAAAACCATTAAATGTCTAATTCCCTATTGACACAGGGAGTTGATTCCATTTTAGTCTTTACTTATCTGTTTACAAAATTTATGATCTAGAAACACATTTTTAAATGTATTCCTAATTTTCTCTTATTATTGAAGGCTATTTCTTCTCATTCCATAAAAAAATCAGAAAAAAAGATTACAATTAATATACATGAAATCACTTTGCACATTTCCCAATCAATATTTTTAATGGTATTCTTGAAATGTTGAAGTTAGATGGGTTTTTGGTTCAGAAAAATTGTTTTTGATATCTCAAAATAATTCTTTCATCCTGTACTATATTAAAGAGATCCACACACAAATATAAGTGCATGGTACAGACTCATCAAATGCCACTTTGAGTACCTTGCCCCTTTGTCTTATTTTATTATGTTTGTGGCTAAGTGATAATATTTAAGGACAATGCTGTTTTCTGTCTTCTCAAGGGCATTGTTGGGAAGACCTTGACTTAATGATATTGTAAGGTCTGTTCTGCTGCATTTGTGTCATAACTGGGACACTGACATGTTTTTTTCAGCTTTCTGACAGTGTCTTATCTACTCATTGTCAAGATCACTCTTATTCAGTTCATCTGGAAAAAGATGTCATGTTATACCAGTAACATAACAATACATCTGTCAAAATCAGTTGCACCCTGAACAAGAGATACCAAAAAAAAGAACTGATAATACTCAGAAATCCTAGCAGTATTTTCTACAATTCATAAGTCAAAGATTTTTTTAAGGCAATTACCCTTGAGAGTGCATTTATGTAATAAATGAGAAGCTAGGGAAACCCAATAAAATGTGAAACTATTTTTCAGCTGGGAAGCTGACTTCCTCCAGTCGACAAAATGACATTCTAGTTCACTCATCTTGTGTCATCTGACAAAATTATTACAGTTACTTGTATGCCCAAATATGTATTTCATTGAGATTATCCATCATATTGTATGTGAAATATTTGTATATACCACCCCCAAGTTTGTTTTCAACTATTTGATGCAGCTATCTTTTCAAAATTTAGAGGTTTTATTTTTTTCATATTTTGCTAATGTGCTTATAAAGAATTCATTCACCAAGCGCATATGAATAAACATTGCATTCTGCACAAAGAATAATGTTAACTGAACAATTATTCCTTGTTATATAGCTGAGTGAATGTGCATGGTAAAAACGTAACTGTGTCAAATACAAATAATGCGTGTCCTATGCTTATTAGATTACAATAAATTAAGAAAAATTCCAATAAGACGGACTTTAAATGCTGACACATTTGGAGCAATGCAGTTATCTCTGAGTTAATGTATCGCTTAAAGGCAACTATGATAGTAATGATTTTATTTTAGATAAAGACTATTTTTGGAATTAGCTACCAAGAGAATTTTTTCCCATTACAGGTGTAGCCTGTGTTACTTTAGCCTACTAGTTCTTTTTTTTTTTTCTCTTTTCCACTATTGTTATTATTACATTATAATGGTCACATTCATCTTCCATGGCACCTAAAGCTTTTGTGCCTAGAATATTTCAATCAGAAAAATAAAGTAGTGAAAAACATCTAAGACAATTGATGCCTAAAGCAATGACATACCGTTTTATCTCTTAAACTGAGGGCCATTTTCTTCTCACTTTTACCTGCTGCCTACTTGCTTCACAGGTACAAAACTATGCAATGCAATGAATTCATCCAATAAAAATTTATTTAGCCCATCATGTTTGAGGCATTGTGCCAGATGCTGGGGTAAGAGAATATTCAACACAAACATGGCCCCTGCCCTCATGGTGCATATATTGAGTGAAGACAGACAATATTTAGCAAGAGAACAAATAAGTTCATAAAACCATTACAGATTGTAACAGGCATTCTGATCAAGAGGAACAGAAGGCTGGCGTCGCTTAAGATAATCGAGAGAGGGCTCTCAGTTCCCTGGTGTAGAAACCTGATCCTAACCAGTAATTCTGCCACTCTACAGTCTCCAAGTCCGAAAACTCATCCCCATAAACTAGAATTACTCCTGGAATATTGCATTTGAGAGGCGTAGGCATTTTCCCAACCCTGCCCCTTTCACTGTCATAAAAGAAAGCTCTTAGAATTGCTGAGAAACTACAGTGACAGGAAATAATTTGATGCTCAAGAAGTAGGAGTGAGATGGTCTCACCTTGAAAAAAACGGCCCTGAACGGAAGTGCAGAAGGAGAGGAATTGACCAACTGGCTCAAATCACATCACAGATTTCACACGTATGTAAACAATACCCATCAGGGAAAAAATGCTACGTGTAATTCAGAATGTGAGTACATTATCAGTACAGGAAAACTTCAAGTAACATACACGTAATATACAGATGTGGATTCTCATAAAATAAAAAGAAATTCTGGATGATTCTTAACAGTATTATTTTGGATAGAACACTCACTTATGATAGCTCACTTTTTAAAAGTCACTTTTATAAAAAGTTTCTTAAACATATCTGATATATAAAAAACATACAATTTTAAACAGTAATCATAAAATACTGCTATGATACATAAAGTTAATGATATAAAAACCTGAAAAAAAACCTTTTGAGAGAGAGACAGACAGAGAGCATTTGAATTCTATATATCATCAACAGCCAGCTCTCCAAGGCTGCTGGTCGGGGAGACAGGTATATGGTCTCTCTTGAAAGTGATCTTACCACTGTTTAAAAAAATTGGAAAAACTGGAAATAAAGCAAAGAAATAACTTCTCATCTTCTCAATGTCATACTGGAGCATTTTCTAACAGGTAAAGATTATTTAATTCTAGGCGAATTAATAATTCTGATTTTACTATTTATTATTGATTAAGGTCAGATTCTGTAAAGTTTACATTTTAATTTGTAGATTTTTGCCCAGCAGAGATGCAAATGACTTCTATCTGGTAGAAAATCTATCCCCAACGGTTATGGTTTAATGCCTTTTGGACAGTAACACTTGTGTACTTACCTAGTAATATTACTCCAACATTCTTTCTTGGATTCCTGTATATACTGAGTCTCTTGAATTTTCTTTGAGCTAGCTTTACCATCCTTCTGATTCTTTCATTAATGAATTAAATACATCTTTGATATGTGCATATTCTATATTTGAATGAGTATCGTGTTTTTATGCTTTTGAAAATTTTACTTTAATATTACTAAATTAAAAACTACACTTGAACTTCACATCAATGACCAGGAAAGCAATATTTCAAGTCTTAGCTATCACCCATAATGCTCAGGGAAAATTTATTTTTGATATTCCACAAAGATTCTCAGATTTTTGAAGTCTTATAAAAGCACTGCCAATGCTAACACAGTCTCATAAAAGAATAATTCAAGGAGATGCATAACAACATTTTTTATATCAAAACTAATCTATAAAAGATCTAATATGAGTGAATAGAATTAATAAAATTAATCCAACTCAATGTTTAGAAACACTAAATTAAGCATCCAAAATAACATTAATATTTAAATTAATAGTATCACATTTATTCCTATCTTTTGTCAAATACCTTTGGGAAAAGACTATTTTGTACAGAGCTGAGTTGTATAAATAGGAAAAGCAGAGGTATCAGAGAATTGACTACAGGACAAATGAGAAATCTGAAGTTAACAAAGTTTGTAACAGTAAAAGACCTACAGTCCAAAGATGTAGGAGGAGACTTATTGATCGATTGAAAAGAAGAATTATCTTTCTAATTGTATATTTGTTCGTGAGTATGCTTGTTAACCAAGGTCATATTTTTAATGATTGGATTGTTGAGATTAATAATGTGGCTCTGTCATACCCTGGCTCACCAATAGGGAGGGTATCAACAATTTTCCAGTAACAAGTGGCAAATTGTTCTGACACATTTTTCTCTTTTTAGTCTAGCTCCCTTTTTGGTCATTTGTAATAGTATATATTACACTTTAGCCTAGTGGTTAAGGCGACTAGTCCGGGTGGGTTTGAATCCTCACTCTACCTTGGGAAAGTGGATTGGTTTCTACTACGATTTGGATGTCCTTTGTCTCTGCCAAAACTCACACTGAAATTTGATCCCCAAAGTGGAGGTGTTGGGAGGTGGCCCTGGTGGGAGGTGTTTGGGTCTGGGGGGCACACCATTCATAAATAGCTGGTTACCCTTCTCTTTGTCATGAGTGAGTTCTCCCTGTCTTTAATTGTCTGGATTTGTTCTCAGGGGACTGGACTAGTTTCCGAGAGAGAAAGTAGGTTGTGATAAAGCAGGCTGCACCCCAGGTTTTGCCTCTGCACGTGTCTGCTTCCCCTTTCAGGTTCTCCATCATGTTTTGACCCAGCACAAAAGCACTCCCCAGGAGTCCAGCAGATGCAGACACTGTGCTTCTTGAACTTCCCAGCCTGCAGAACCACCACCTCAATATATCTCTTTTTTTTTAATCAATTACTCAGCCTCGGGTATTCTGTTTTAGCAACACAAAATGGACTAAGAC